TTTTATAACAAAAAGATAAATTAAACGTTTATTTATACATGTAAAGACAAAAACAAAAAAATTCATTGCCTGGTTCTTGCCCAAAAAGTTGAAATTTCAAGTGATACATTAATAAAATGTTGTTTAAATTTAATTTTCAATCGCCAAATTCACTAGTCAGTAGAAGATTTTATATTTAAATAAAATTCCTTATCATCTTGCAGAACATATTTTTCTGCTAATTGCATCACATCTGTATACTTTTTTGAGTTGATTGGCAAGGTTTCTTCACGCAATAGTTGTGGTGAAAATGTATTTGCACTAATATTAACTAGTTTTGCTAGCTGGAAGTATAAAGCGTCTGCACATGGCTAACTGAAGTTGTAACACCACGAGTACTCAATTAAAATATTTCAAATATTTTAAATTAGTTCTTTACCTTTCTGCACCAGTAAAATGGATTTGTCGCTTTCTTCTAATGAAACAGAGGGTTGAGATTTAGATTCTGAAATACAAAATCGTCACGCTCACTAACGTTAGATGTTATTACATCGAAAAAAACTCACAACTAATAATTATTGCAAACAAATAGTTAAGAATATGATCTAAAACAGACAACGCAAAAACATATTGTAACATGTTATTGCATAAACAATTTTATAGTTTTTGCAGTAAAAATATGAGGCAGACAACTAAGAGTTGATAGAAAAGCCCAGAAGTGTAGTTATCTGGTTTTTGCCGTCACGTCTGCAAATAGTGGTATATAACAATTGACCAACATAAGTTTCCTAGAAAACAATAATATTTTAAAAGCTCTTTGGTTAAATTGGAATCCTGTAACAGATAAGTCAATCTTTTGTTATTCGCCCTCCGAATCGTCTTTTGAAATGCCTAAAAAAATATTTTATGGCGGAGGTTGCAAGATTCTTCGACCTTTTAGGGTTAATAAGACCCATAATTATAGCGCAAAAGCTCTTTCTACATCATTTATGGAAATTCAAATTATATTGGGACAAAAGCTTACAGCTTAATTCAAAGTGGTAAAAGCTTAAACTTGTCTGCATCACTCAACCGTGCCTATTAGTAAGTATAACTAAAATGGTTATTATTTACAGATGGAAAGGGAAATATTATTTACAAATAAAAAGGGGTGGCAAAAATAATATTAGTAGTATTAATTTAATATTGACCTGACCTGACTGCACCGGTGGTTATTGCACTGGTCCTTTAAGAGAACAGTCTCAGATTCAAAGCCAGGTCACTATAAAAAATATATTTTATAGCTTTATACACATTACATACATACAAAAATAAAAAATAATTAATATTAATCAATTGCCATATTTCAATATTGGATAATATTAAAAAATATACCAGCAAAATAAAGTAGTAAATATCAATAGCCCTAAATATTTAATATAAAACTACGGTAGACTCCTACCTAGTAAACTCAATGACGTAAGAAACTGGTTCATAGTTATCTACAATATCGTGTACCAGCCCTATGCTCCTCCCAGCAGCGAAGTAGGAATAAAATTTTACGAAAAAATTCGTGGCTAGTCCTACGCAATTCGTTTTACAAGTAACGCCCAATGTAAAATTGAATCACATCATAATTTTAATACGGCTATTCCCTTTAAATTGCATGTTGCGAGTGATTATATCTTTCGTAGACTTTTGAAGGTAAATATACTACGAACATTATTTATGATTACTCCATTACGCATATTCGGAGAAGAATTTTAGTAATTCGAAATTGATAATATGACACTTGTAATTTTCGAATTTCAGAGCTACGAATGAAATTCATGATAGAACTGTGTGAACCTATTCAACGTCCGTTTTCTGTATGCGGTGTCGGCCAGCTTCTGTTTCAAATACTTTCATACGTGCTTTAAAACATTTTTTTGAGAGGCGAGCCAGGCAAAGGAAAAATATATTCGTATGATGCGACTAATTTGTCGAAACAAACATTTTAAAAAATTTTTAAATTTAATATTATTACAAGGGGAAATGCTAATGAATTCTCCCGTTCCAGCGACCCTAACGAGTTCAGTGCTTTAATACCTGGCTTAAGTGCTTTAATTTTTCAAGATTCTCTTTAAATTTGTCAAAAATGGCGTGATCTTCATCGTAATATTTCTGTTGGGATTCTTGTTTTATTAGTCAAAGCAACATACCATCATTAAAATGGCTACTTGGTCGTATCAGTCTAAATCAGTCCCGGTCACGATGAATAAAGTTCGAGTTGTTACAGTTAAAATGGCTTCAGGTGGCCTACTATGTAAAAACGCGAAAGTCACAAATTTGCGAAATTTGATTTGCGATTCGCAAGTGGTTTAGTACTATGTAACAAAATTGCATCGTAAAAAAATTTAAACTGGCAACATTTTCTAAAATTTTTTGATTTTGACATTTCTGACAATTTTTCAAAGTAAACATTTGAATTATTTTAAAATAGTCATACATTGAAATGTATGTATAATATTAAGGAGGTGATTACAGGTATCCCTTGCTTAATTTATATTAATATTAAAAAATTTGTATTAAGCACCTACATACATTCCTTTTTGACTATGAAATAATAAACAACAATTATGTACGTCCTATAAACTTAAAAATTTATATTAATTTTTTTGTAAATACATTTATGTATGTAACAAAACTTAAATAGTTATTTGAACTTCTTTTTAAATTTTTTTCAAATTCTTTAATACTCACAAAAAATAATGCTATAAGGCACTAATAGAAAATTGGTAAACATTTATTATACATATGATGTATTTACATCATACTTTTGTTACATAAAAGAAATGCATGGGATTAAAAAAATCGATTTTCAAGTTCAGTCAGCAAAATTTAATTGTCAAAATGAAAAAAAGGAAAATTTTTTGGTAGAAATTTACTTCAAAAAAAAAAAAAATTTAAAGTGAGGGAAATGGCGTTATGTAAATTAGTGGTATTAAAAATTAAAAGAGCGTAAATCGGAATGTCGTATATCGCAGGGGCTAAATCGGGGGATACCTGTATTGTTAATGTTATCTAAGATATATGGATAGCAAAAGACTTTTATGCAGGTTAAGATTTAAATACTGCTCTTGCTCAGCAAACCATTTCACTTATTATAACCGAAGTTTGTAAGGCTGTAGATGAAAAGTTAAGTTCCATTATAATAAAACTGGAAAGGACTAATGTCGAGAAAAGAGAATCGAATTTGGAACCGCAAACCGGTTTTGTATTTTATTTTGACCTATAATTATATGCAATTGCTTATTACAAAAATTTAATTAAATGCAATAAATTTTAAATGGAAAATTTTTTTAATTTACTAAAAATAAATGTAGCACTTACATTTTTTAGTTTCATTTTTTCAAAAACTTAGACTTTCGCAATAAGATTCGTAAACAAAATGCAAGTGAATGAAAAGTATGTGATTTTAGCAATCTATAGTACCATATTTGTTACTTATTATGATAGGCGAAGCGAATGGCTAGGCGAATCAAGTGACATTTTAAATTATTCTTTTAATAATAAATAGTAATTCTTTTAATAATAAATTAAATTATTCTCTTAATAATCAACATTTTGGATCTGGGGAATAAACTGCTTTTATTCCCCAGATCCAAAATGTTGCTACCGTAAGACATCAAAAAAAACCTACCAAAAAAAATTATATTAACACCACACATATGTACATACATTGTTTTTGCTTTTTTTGCAAAAATAATTGAATTTTCCTATCCTTTAAGCAATGTCGGGGTTGTTTTCCATTAATTTAATTAAATGCTCTTGGTTCGTTTTTTCACGCTTAAGCTAATACTAAACAATGTTTTCAATGTTTGATCAAAATAAGGACCATAGTGACAAAATTTAAAATGCGAGAATCGTTTAGCGAAAGTAGCACTAGATAGTATGCCACGAGATGTTTATACAAGTAGCATAAGTAAAATTTGTAAGGTTTCAGTTGAAAATTCTTTTCAGGGCATGATGAAGAATTTTTAATTAAGATGTTTAATTTGAATAAATAATTACTCAAAATATTTAAATTTTTTTTTTTTTTATTGGTGTGAAAAGAAAACTTCCTTTTATTCGGAATAAAATACTTTTATTAAGTATTAAAATACTTTTATTAAGTATTTTATTCCGAATAAAAGGAAGTTTTCTTTTCACACCAATGAAAAAAAAAAAATTATATTTCGGAAAAATTATCAACCATTGGAAAAAAAAAATTTTTTGAATATTTTAATTTATTAATTGAAAAATCAAAACTTTATTTCTACCTTCAAAATCTAGTTTTTAACTTAAATTATCTTTTGTACCCAAGTTAGTTTTGTAATTAATATAATTGATACTTTGATGTTGTGATTGAATTGTTTTCGTATAAAATTTTAGTTTGATTAAATGATCGAAGGTAGAAGTTTTTTTTTTATAATTTTGGGAGACTGTAGGTCATGTTGTAAAAAGGTCTATGCGAGACATTTGATATTGAATTTTAAAATCTATCATATCATATTAATAAAAATATTGTTCTTTATTAAGCATAAGTCGTTCGTCTTTTTTATTAAGATCAAGCTATCGAAACGTTTATCTTGAAAATGCTCAGTGATTAAACACCGGCAAAATAAAATATTTTTTAAATAAAATACGAGGCCAGCAGAGATATGAGCAAATTTATAATTTTTAATTTTTTGAAATTTACTTTCTATGCCAGGATAGCAAAAATTGTTCTGAGCACTAAATATTTGCCGTGATTTGTTGGATTATTTTGCTCATATTAATTTTTTAAGAGCGAAATTCGACTGCTTTTGATCGTTCTTTTTAAAAATATTTGTAAACAGAGTTGCAGAGCTGTATCGTATGTTTATTACTATTAAAACATTTCAAGTCAGAAGAGCTGCGCGACTCAACATTATTTCCGAACTACTTTTAAATATACGTTCTAGAATATATTCTTTATATTATTTTCAATATAAATTCTAAAAAAAATCTTGTTAGCTTACAAAAAAAAAGAACAAGAACAATTGTTAAATAAGTAAATAATAAGACATTTTTCTATTTATTGTTCATTTTTTAATAACAACATAAAAATATTATTTGGAATTCATAGTATATCAATCCGCCACTCTTAATTCAATCTTTTCTTTATTTTTCTCTTTTTTAATTTTTTTTATTGGTGTACTTTACTTACAATTTAATTTGTTTTTTTGTTTTCATTTATTTTTATACAATATTTTTTTTTATTTTTTTTTCATTTAATTATTTATTTAAGTAAACTTAGTTTAACTCTAACAGATCCCCAGGTAGAAGAGATCTTAAATTCGATGGTGTACCACGTTCAGCTGATCCATCTAATGATGATGTCCACAAATTACTTGATGCGTTTGGCTGCCAAACTGAGCCACTCCAAGCATCAGTTCCTAAAAAAGAAAAACACAAAACAAAAAATAATTTTATTTTTTAATAAAACAAAAAACAGGAAGCTAAATTTTTTAAATCAGTTATAAAATTATTTAAAAATTATATCCTATAGTTTTCGTTAACGTATTATTCAATATATTTTCAAAGTTTGATATTTTCAAATATGTAATTTTTTATATAACAAATTATTACTTTATTGATAAAATTTTACAAATATTGAAGAAGTGATATATTTAATTATTTCAAAACCACAACGGAAGTTTTGCTCTTTCGTACTTCTAATTATCTACTTCTATATTGGGGCCAATGAAATAAATTTCCAGAGAATTATCATTGTTTGGAAAATTTTGCTTTAAAATCCGCACAATCATGTAGAAATATTTCACTTATAGTTTACTTTTAATTTAAAAATAAAAAAATTTCAAATTATGCAAATATTCTCTTGTTGTATATATATACTTTGATTATTTTTTTCATTAGTGAAACTTTTTTTGAAAATTTTGCAATTATTGCTTGAAAATTTTATAATAATGTTAATTTTCATTATAACTGTTCTTTTCGAAAAATATTACCAAATATATTTTCTCTTTTTTTTTATTCAGCCTTTTCACTTTAACTTGAATTCCCATCAAAAAGGTGGCATGAAATCAATATAATTTTCATAACGAAAACTAACGGACTTTTTTATACTAGAGACAAAACTCAGTAGACCTTCATAATTGACACTATTGTAATGGAAAATTTTTGGAAGGAACAAGGTTCTATGAAAATATCTAAGATAATGTTATATTGTGACATTAAAACATAATGCAAATGAAAAGAAGATCTGGAGGTGAAAATCTTTTCGCTGTTACAGTCCTATCATAAATTCCGTTCGTGACTCCAAAATCAGGAAAAATACAAATTTTATATTCTCAATTCTAAATTAGTAAAATTCTACTGTATCCGTAATACAGTAATCATAAATTGCGTTCGTAGTAAAAATAGCCCTCGATAGCGTCTACAAAAGAAATACTCACACGTAACAAGCAATTTAAAGAGAGTGGTTGTTATAAGTTTTCAAGTTTGTAATTTTTTTGTTTGAATTGGAGTTCTTCCATAACAGACCCCATGAAACGAAATGAATTCATATTTGCTAAAAAAATGTTTTTCCCACTTTTCAAAAAAAAACTCAAAAACTAAAAAAAAACTGCGAAATTTCGTACTTAAGAAATATCTTTTTTTATGAAAGTTTTGTACTCCAATAGCATCAAAAAACACAAACATTTGATAATTGAAATAAAATACTGATTTTGACACTCTGAAAAATTTTGTTGCAATTTAATTTGTGTTGCCACGAAAGGAATTTATGGTCATTTAAAAATCTACGTCGTAGTTTTCTACGAGGAGAGTTCATGATAGGACTGACAAAGATAGAACAAAGTTGATTTACTCCTGCATGTTTTCATTAATTTCAATGATTTTCTTTATATAAATATATTTATATGATTAATATAATACCAGTAAATTTTATATGATTAATATAAATGATATTAAATATGATTAATAGTAAATTATATTAACCTGGTGGTCTTGTTTGATTTTGTTGATTTTGTGATCTCCACGCAGACTGACTATTTGCGTTTCCACTACCGTTATTACTACCACCTGGTCCACCGGGGTTTCCACCGCCCCCACTAGTTCCATTGCCTCCTCCGCTAGTTTGTGATTGACCAACGTTTGGACCATTACCATTACTATTACCTGCAGGTAAGTGTTGTAATATATTCTGAACTTCACTATCGTTGGGTGATTCAGCACAAATTGTTGTATTACTTAGAACACAATTATTTAAAGCCATTTGAGCCTTATTGGCTTCTTCTCTAGTTGCATATTTACATAAAGCGATTCCCTGATTTAAGTATAAATGGAAATTTAATAACGGCCCATGTTGCATACATAAGGTACGTAAGGTTGAACCATCGATCTGAAAATGAAACAAAAATTTTTTATATTTTCTGCAAAAAAACAACAGTATATGAGTCTTGAAAATTTACCTGTGTAGTTAAATTTTTTAACAATAACCATGTAGAATTCCAATTAGAATTAGCTCCAGACCAACTCGTTTGATTATTTGGTGCACCACGGCCGGACAATGTAGCTCCAATCCAACCATTTGCATTACTACCATTTGCGTTTCCTGCATTTGATGGATTGCTTGAATTTGAATTGTTACTACCAGTACCGTTATTATTACTATTTGAGCTACCAACAGCAGATTTATTAGCACCTAACCCGGGTGGCGGACCACGTGATGTCTTGTTTAATTGTGGCGCAGCCCACAATTCTGATGTAGTGGCACTTTGTTGTGGAACATTATCAGACCAACTTTACATAAAAATAAAAAAAAAATTAATTTTAAAAAACAAATTAAGAGACTTAAGGAAATTTTCTATTAATTACCTAGTAAAATTTTGTTGATTTCCAGACGGATTAAAACTCCATGTCGATGAAGATAAACTTAGTGGGGGTAAATCAGTCGGTGATGCTTTACTGCTATTAGCAAAGAGGTCAGCTTCTTTTGGCGTCGGATTAATAGACAGTGGACTTCTAGCTACACTACCTGGGGTAATACTAGGATCATCTTCGATACTTTTTATTTGGGAACCCTAAAAGCAAAATAGCAACATACAAAAAAAAATTAATTTAAAATGTAATGTTTTCTTTTATTAGACAAATCTAATTCTATCTCTAACTTACTTTCCAAGGTTTTCCCGGTTCAAATTCTGGAACTAAATCAGTAAATGCAGTTGCAGGTGACTGCTGTGCTGCTGGCCAGTCTTTGTTCTCATTATCATTGCTAGAATCAGGCCATCCATCACCAATACGTGCGGAAGACCAAGTTCTATTATTAGTTATCCGACGCATATATAAATAAATATGGAAAATTTATACAAATACATTACAAAGTAGGAAATTATTTACCCATCACTTTGTAATCCTAAAGTGTTAATATTAGTAGAATTTGTTGAAATAGATTTAGCAGTTGGACCTGGGGCACGCGAAAAATCTGTACTATCCGTGGGTACATCTTTTTCTAATACTGGAAGCTTCCACTGGTTCAGTCTAGATTGCTGATTTGGAGCTCCTTGGAATGCTCCGGACTGGTCCTTCAAATTAATCTCAGAGAAGTTACCTTGAAGAGCACTTATGGCATCATGTTGTCCTCTCATATAATCAGAGGATGATCCAACACTAGCTGAATTGCTAGTAACACCTACACTACCACCACCTAAATTACCACCGCCTGTATGAGATACAACACTAGCGGCAGCAGCTGCAGCAGCAGCAGCAGCAGCAACAGCTTGTTGATTTTGTTGTGCTACAGCTAATTGTTGTTGCTGCTGCTGTTGTTGTTGTTGTTGTTTTATGTAAATTGCTTGTTGTGCATTTATTTGATTTTGCAAATTTTGTATTGTTTGTTTATATTTAGTAATAGCTACAGTTAATTGCAAATTGTTATTTATACTTGGATTACGTTGGATAGAAGTTTGTGCCCCCTGTAAATGCTATAATAAAAATAACAAAAAATAAAAAATTATTGATGCTTATAATTTTTCTTTTTTGCAGTGTTGTAAAACTTTTTTTAAAATGCCACGTAAAATAAAATAGAATTTAATTAAAATTTCACTACCACCGTTTAAAAACTTAATTTCACAAAATTAGCAAAAATTTTTAAATTTTAATTACTTTAATGTTGCTGAGCAATTGATTAAGCAGTATAAGAGTTGTTGGCGCTAAGGGTTGATTTAGAATTTGATTACTGAGGTAACCACCCTGCACAGCCATCTGTATTTGTTGTACTAACATTCTTAACTGATGTGCAGATGGTGGACCAGATTGATGATTACCACCAGCATTACCTGGCGTCGCTCCTCCAAGACCACCTGGTCCACCACTATTATTAAATTGTTGCTGTTGTGCGGCAGCTAATGCACCTGCAACATTGTGCGGTCCTTGTTGATTAAGGTATTTTTGCACCTAATTGAAAAAAACAAAATAAAAAAATTAATACAACATTTAAATTTCAAATTAAATTTTTATAGTATACCGGTGGGAATTGCATAGTCGTTGGTGGCCCAGAAGGAAATCTTCCAGTTGAGAATCCGCTACCACCATGATCAAAACCACCCGCACCAATACCACTACCACCAACATTACTAGGTGTATCGTCATGTCGGCGCCATCCATCTATATTTTGCCTCGTCAAAATCTCCATAGCTTCATCAATATTAGAATTTGTTGCACGCAAAGCCATTTCCACGTCTTCCTTTTTAAAGCCCATTTCAGTTAATACACGATATGCTTTGGTTGTTCTCAATATATTATCATTATTTTTAAGATTCATAACTTGAGATTTGCTAACACCACCATGTTGTGGGATTGAACCCCATTCAGTACTTAGATCACTTGTGTCTGGCCAGCCACTGACTTGTCCACCAGTTGTATTACCGCCTCCTCCACTAACAACAGCTGAATTAAGTTTATTCTGATTTTTGTTCCATGCATTTGAAGCTGATGAATCACTCCAACCACCACTTACACCACCTGTACTATTTCCACTCAAATTACCCATATTCGTTTTATCAATATCACCCCAATTAGCTGTTCCACCAACATGTTGATCATCACCCCATGCGCCATTATTACGACCACCTCCGCCGGCAGTATGACCCCACATATTATCTGGTTTTAATTGACCACCAGTGCCTGCAGCACCAATAAGACCACCGGTGCCAGCACCAGGTCCACCTGGTCTACCTTGACCTGGCATTGGTCCACCAACATTACCTGGATTTCCACCGGCTCCGCCAGAATTTTGTCCACCACCAATTGTACCACGTAACAAATGTGATCTTGACATTGGATCATTAATATCTTTCCAATGAGATCCACCTGCAACACCACCACCAGGAACACGTGACTGTTGCCCCCATAATGATGTACCATCATCATAGTTTTGCAAATTACGTCTTTGTGGGGGTGGTGAAGGTTCATCACCCCAACCAGTTGATAATTTACTACCAACAACAGCTGTCATGGCAATATCCTTAGGTACTCCTGCACTTACTCCACCTATAGCATTTGTATTCCATTGCGATGTGGTATTACCTGAACCTACACCACTACCAGGAACCACATTTGGATTTATGACACCACCAGTACTGCCAGCTCCACCGGGTCCCACCATTTTATTCAATGGTAAATGTCCTCCTTGTGCTGCAGCTGCTGCTAAAGCGTGGTGTTGTCCCCACATTTCAGCTGATGTACCATTTAACCTTCCTGATATTCCACGTGGATCACCGCGTAAGTCGCGTATTTGCTCACGTGGATCAATTATATTACCAGCATTCCTTAAATCACTTCTTGGATCACCACTTGGGGTTCTTAAATCTCTAGGATCAACATTTCTTATATCCAGTGTTGTAGGTCTCATATCACGAGGATCACCCCATGCATTTGCTGGTGCTGAACCTGTACCTGCTCCAGTTGTTGCACTTTGAGCACCCCAACCCTGTGGTCCACCAGCATTTGCACCACCAGCTGTAACACTACCACCGCTACCCGTATTTGCACCTTGATTTGTTGGTGCGCCTGTCCATACATTATTTGCATCATTACCGTCATCATCTTCACCCCATGTTCCACCTAAATTTGATGTAGGTGTATGTCCCCATGGTGTTTTTTGTACTGGTTGTGGTGGTGGTTGCCCACCATTACGTAAATTTGCTTCCCACAAATCCGTACCGTTATTTATATTTGGTTTCCATATTGGTGGACCACCAGTTGGATCTTTATTTGCTGGTTCTGGTGAACCAGGAACATCCCAATTTGTATCCTGGTTTACGTGCTGGCAGCCCCAACCATCTTGTGAAAATAGTGCTTCACGCATTGTGTTCAATTGCTCTAACTGATTTTTAGCAGCTGCTGCTGAAGTACCACCACCTACAAGGCCGGCATTACTACCATGGTTACCGCCATTATTAGTACCGGCGTTATTATTTGATGGCTATAAAATTTTATTAAAAACAAAAAAAAAATTATTAAAAATTTTCAAGGTAAATTAAAAGAAAATTTTTTTTTATAAAACTTTAGACAAAATTTAACAAAAACAAAACATTTTTTATTTAGTAAACAAAATTTTACTGAAAAACATTGTCAGGGGGGAAATAAATACAAAAATTTAACTTTCTTATGGAAATTTTACGTATTATTATCGGGTATTGATTTTTGTTCTTAGTTTACTTAAATTTTCAATAAACTTTTAGAAATGTTTAAACTAACAAGACCTTTTTCTCTCCCGTTATAAGAACTATTTTAAATTAAAAACATCCATCCTTTTATTTAAAATAAATACAGTGAGGTCTCAGTACAAAGAATATATTCAAAATTCCATAAGTTTTTGTTTGATGTAATACAAAAATTATCTTATATGGGAGAAAATTTTAAAAGAAAAATAAAGTTCTAGCTATTAATGAAACTACTTGCAAAAAAGAGATTTATTGTTATATGAAGGGTTCGTTACAAGGCTATTCCACTGTATTAAATACAAATTAACTGTCACATTTTGTATTTTTTAAGAAATATCAAATTCTTTCAACACAAGTACAATGTTTGATCTCAAATTTTCTGTAGCACTACATTTGTTGTCCGCTGCAATTATTAATGTCTCATAAAACTGGGATTTGTATATTCATTCTACATTATTGAAATTGACTAAGATTAATTATCCCCTAATATAGAATATAGAATATTGTAGGATATTATAAAAAATACAGTTGTTAAAGAAAATTCTTTAAAAAAAAAAAAATAACTTCAATTTTAGAATTTGATTATAATTAAGCCAAAATTTTTGAATTACATAGTTTTTTAAAAATGTAAATGACACAATTTCTTCATTCGCGAAAGAATTAATCAGCATTATTCTACTAGACGCGCACATAAAAATATGTAAGGCGACAGATTTACTATTAACCGCAAAAGCTAGTAAAAAAAAAGTACAGCTGATTTAACTGCGCTAGCCATGATAATTCAAATATTTTTGTGATAGGATAGCAATGTTTATGAACAAACTTGATTAGCAACATTTGTTTATGAATATAGCGCAGTTCTCGCTATATATCGCGATATACTCAGTTTATGAAAAAACCTTTACTATTTGTTATTTATACTTTTTTCCTTTCACTAGTTATTACTTTTAAGTTTCGATTCTTCTGTCACAGCACATTTCGCGTCTAGTAGAATATCAAAAAAAATTCGACGTGACAAAAAAAATTTTACTCGTCTGGTAACTATTAATAAAAGTCTGGTTCTTTGTTATAAAAAAATTATTACAACAAAAATTTTTGAATAACAAAGAACAAAAATTAATTCAACGTTTTGTGTTACAAAAAAAAAAAAGGAAAGCCCAGTCTCATCTTATAAATATTTCATTGAAATTTTGTTGGGGACATAAAAGTATTGTCCCAAAATGTCAGTAAAGCCGCCGCCGCGTCAATCACAACTTTTTATTTAGAAAAACAACAAGCAAAATTAATTTTTTCTGTTCAACAAAACAATTGTAAAAAAAATATATTTCGTTAAAAATACCGTTAATATTGTAATTATTGTAATTAATAAGATTTTTTAAAGCGAATTAGCGAAAATCGCGCTTTAGAACGCGCATATTGTATTATTTAAGCAATTAAGTTTTTTTTTTAATGCAAGTTCTTATTACTTCTGATATTTTAAGGCGCCTAGCGCATATTTTTTTTGATTGCAGGAGATTTTCCCTAAGATTAGAGGAATAAAAATTTTGTAAAACTGTACAGATTCTACAATTCGCAATGGCTTACTTGAAGAAGCATTCAATCTATAATCAAATACTTGTAAAAACTTACCAAATCAGTTAAAATCTTGAACACACCCAAACCAAAATAAAAGGCGCCCCAAAATTTTGTTACTTATGCATATTAATTTTTTCTTTTTTTTTTTATAAAAATATTAATCTATTTGCGGGTCCCGAAATTTTCAATTTTAAGCATAAGTAAAATAGTGGATATTAAAAATATTAGTTTTATGATAAGTGTAAAAAAAAAAAACAAAAAAAAACATTGACAAATTAATGACAACAATAAAAAAAAAAAAAAAAATAAAATAAAAAAATTAAAAATAATGGAGCTGTTAGAACAATTTTTTTTTTGTTTTACCACAGTATGCAATAAAGCTCAACCACTGTCAATCAACAATAGAACAAACAAAAATTATTACACAAAATTTTTTTTTTCTTCTTTATTTACATTATTTCCATTGATTCCTATTATTGGTGATTGTTGATTGGAGTTGATTAACGGAGTTTGTTGTGTTGTCGATTGCGATTGTGGTGACGATACAACACTACCCGACGAAGATGCTACTGATAATGATAAATTAACTGATGATGTTGTTGATGATACAGCAGCAACTGTTGTTGTTAGTGAAGATGGTGACAAAGGCAATGAAGTTGTCTGCTGTTGTTGTTGTCCTATTTGTGAAATTGTTTGACTTTGTTGTTTTTGATTATTTGATTGTTGTTGCGATTGTTGTGACTGCGATTGTTGCTGTTGTTGTTGCTGTGATTGTTGATTTCCACTAACCATACCGTTGCTTTTCTATTTTTATTATTCCTTTTTTCTTATATTTCTTTTGGTTTATTTTTTTTTTTTTGAATTATTTATTAATTATAATTAGTGTTAATCCTTATAAAGAAAAAAAAAAAACTACTTTTGCGAAAAAAATTTTATTTCGGTTTAAAAGTAATTGGAAGCTCTCTTTTGTGCCGATTTTTTATTTCGCCTTTATTTGTTAGAGTTTTTATGTTTTTTTTTAAATTATAAAAAATTATAATTACTCCCACTTAATATAAAAAAAAAAATAAGAAAAAAATAAAAAAAAAAAAATAAAATAAAAATAATTTTGGAATTTTTGATTTTTGTTCTCAACAAAAATATTATGCGTGTTGAAAAAAAAGTCAAATAAAAATTTAGTGTACGACCTCCTGTAACTCCAGATTAGAAAATAGTGCATGCACCCTATACCTATTCTAAATGTTTTGCATTTAAATTAAAAAAAAAACATCCACGGAAAAGTATAAAAATTGTCTGTCGTTGTGTGTTTGTTGTGAGAATTCTGCAATTCGGAAATCGGAATTCTGCAATTCGGAAATCGTTATAGGATTTCTTATTTTTACGATAAAACTACAATATTGTTTTCCCTTTTTATGTACGTATAACGTACGTTGGTATAACCTTTTCGTAAACTATACCATTTTAAATCGTCGGTTAGGGTTTCGAAAATGGGTAAAATTTTTTTCAGGACTAGGTGCCAAATCTTAACGGTCACATATATTAGCGAATTTTCATGCAATTTCTACTTGCTCAAGTTTTTGTTTAAAAAGGGCTAAAAAAAAGAATGGGTGAGACGAAAGAAACAACTGACCGATTTGAAAACTTTGTTTAATATTGACAGAATTGAAAAACGGCTAAAAGTGTTACGACTGAAAGCGACAAGAAAAGGAGAATTCTACTAACACTAAATAGAACATATTTTCTGGCTACAATTTGTATTTTGATATGGCATTGTCTGTTTGGCAAGGTATATGAGCCATCTCAAAGACAAGATACGAGTATAGTTTTATCAAACGTTTGTTTTTATTTTCAAAAAGGTTGGAATGATACCCGTTTTTCTCAATGAATGATGTCATCTAATAAAGTGAATGATGTTTTGGGAGAGTATTACATTAATTAGCGACTTAAAGGAACCCTAAGGGAAGCGCATATAGAACTGTATAGCTGAATGGGATTCCAACATGGATCTTCTCTTGTTGATTTGGTAATAAACGATAATGTCGGAGATGGTTCGGAAGAAGGTGTGTACCTTCATCCTCTTTTACTTATACTATAACTAAGAAAGTAATAAATATAATTACAGTAAATATTCATTAAGAAATTACCATGTGACAATCCTGTAACTGCTGTAATCCTTAATCCAATTTTTTAGTTGTTTTTGTTTTCTTTTTTATTTAATTTTTTCTTATTGTTGTTATTTTTCAAATTTTCTATATATTTATATATATATAAATTTATTTTTATGTACATGTATATTATATGTACATAAATATTTAAATCAATTTTTCTTTTATATATACGTAAATGTATTTTAGGTTTATTTTGTTGCTTTTTGTATTGTTGCTTAAATTGTTTATTTGTTTTTTATTTTTTAATTTTGTAATATTAAATTAAAAATATTTTATTGTATATAGTTGTTTCTTTTTTTGTTATTGTTTTCTTATATATATTTATATATGTATATATATATATATATATATAACATGTATATAATGTACAGTTATAATTTTAAATAATTAGTTATTATTTTGTTTTATTTAATTTTTAATTTTATATAACTTAAATATTAATGTATTTTGTTTTTTTTTTTTGTTAAATGATATTTTTTGATTTTAAATTTTCTTAATTTTTCTATTATATAATGATTAAATAACTGTTAATTTTTTTAAATTTATCTGTGAATAAAAAAATAAAAACACAAAATAATTAGTTTATTTGTTATATAAAAACAATATTATAAAAAAAAATTTAATATTATATTTACATACACACGTGCACATAACATTACCGAAATATTAATCTTATTCATACATGTATGAATGGGGGGAAAAAATGTATATAGTTTATTAAACTTCATGTTTTGTAAAATTTAAATCTAGTTTAGCAATTACTTGATTTTAAAATCATTGCGCCCGCACATCTAACCAACTATACTATTGCGTTAATTTAAGTCTTAATTTAATAAAACTGCGTTAAAAATTTGCAATCAGTTTGTAAAAAAATTATTTGCAATTGCAAGTCTTGATCACTTTATTATAAACCTATTAAATACAAGATATGTATATCGACATCAAATTTTTTCAATATACGATGGATCAATACCAGTAAACAGTGATACACTATTTGGCTTAACGGATGCTAATGATAAAATATATAAATTTTACCCTCAAAGCCCCGACTTAAACCAAATTGAAAATTCATGGGCATATTTAAAAAAGCATATGGGTAAAAACAACCCGAAAATCCTAAACGAGCTGAAGCAATATATATAAGAGGAATAGTCGAAAATACCAGAGAAATATAACCTTGCCAAACTGATTGCGTCGAACTGAAAAAAAGGTTAAACGATGTTATTGAAGGCAAGGGTAAACCATACTAAATCTTGATATAATAATTTTTGATTTTTTGAAGCTTTTTTGAAATATTTTTGATAATATTGAAGAAAAATTTAACAAATCAAAGTTTACTGTGTTTAAAATAACAGTAAACTCCAAATAATCAATTTTTTTCATTTCACAAATAATTATGTGACTTATTGTACATATATGTTTATTTTTTTGTGTTTATAGAAATTCGATATACATACATATGTAGTTCCGAGTTATATAAACTCGTAGAAATAAAGAGGAGCAAAAGTTATAATCTTTCAAATGTTTCAATTCGATGAAATTCATCGTTTTTATGGAAAAGTTTTGAAAAGTTTTGATATATAAATATGTATGTATGCACGTGATTAAACAGAATCTAATAATTAATAATAATTTTATGTTTTAAAAAAGAATTCAAATATAAAAAGTTAATACGCGACAAGTTTTACGTTATATATATATATTTATATGTACATATATAACGGGTTTCCCTCATATATAACGCGTTCCAAGAAATTTTGGCGTTAAATAATTTGTGTTATAGAAAATTTAACTTTAATACATAGAATACATATATATTTGAGGGAGTTCAACCTTAAAAATAAATATAGATGCAAAAATTGTGGCTGCCAAATCCAAATATTTACAATTTTACTGAAACACAATGTTTCTTTTTAAACCACATTATACTGAAAACGTGTTGTAGAAATCCGTGTTTTACGAAGTATATCTGTATATCAAATAAATGAAATTTTTATATAAAAAATCTAAAAGAAATAAGTGTACAAGTATAAAATGTTTGACAAACAACATATAGGGAAATATTTTTAAAAATTTTTTTTAAATTTCTTATTTAAAACGTTTTAACTTTTTTATATTTGAATTCAATATTTTTATTATATACTTAATATACGTGTATATATGATCAGAGAATCGAATTAAAAAAAAATAATTTCGCATGTCGAAAAAAATAACTTCGTATGTAGAGATACCAGAAAATTTTATTCTAAAGCAAAATACAATCAATTAAAATCTAATTGTTTAATTTAGAAATTGTTTTTGTTTTTTTATTTAGACGAACATCAAACAGACCTGTGAAGAAACAAAACGAATTATTATAGAAATGTGTAGTATAAAACTGCAGATAAAATACGATTTATACTGCGTACCCGTGACTTCAATTGTGTAGATACATATATGCGTTATAACTAAACCACTACTATATTTAACTTACAATTTAGATATAGATTATAGGCAAAGGAATTCCTACCCTCCAAATAGCACAGCCAACCATAGTTTGTATTTGCTCTCTCATATCCCACTTATAATACACTTGTTCCAAGTAAATACGAGGAGATATCAATCAGGGGATTGGACGCGAACTCCCCAACACTGAGAAGACCCCACTCAAACGTATGGTTTGAGAATGAACACCGGCAGAATGTACACAAAAGAGAGTCCGATTTTTTCAGTTTGTGAAAGTGATTTTTCACTGGAAAATGTTTGGTGAAAAAACCAGTACTACTACAGTGAACCCAGTTGGTTGGGCAGTTGACGTTGCCAGTGCAGTAGGTCCACCGCACCCCAACTAGTACTAAAGTGAACCCGGTTGGTTAGTCAGTTGACGTGACCAGTACTAGTATTAAAATGAGCCCGGTTGATTGACAAGTTGAAGTGGCCAGTGCAGTAGGTCCACTGCACCCTAATTAGCATAAATGTGCCATTTTGCTATCTGGAACGAACCCAATTTCTTGTAATCATATAGTATAGATTTAAAATATTGTATGTAATATGCAATATATGTGTGAAGTGCGGATACAACAACAAAATAACATTTCAATGGCATTATTATGCTGCTAACCCTGAATGTTGAAAATACAGTAAAAGTAAGTGCCTTTTTTTTTTTGTATCGTCTGATAATTTTATAAAAATTTTTTTTTATTATATGTTTCAATGCTTCGAAGTCTCTAACACTCATTCGGAGATGTTGATTGAGTGCAATTAATGCTTTTTTAACACTCACAACAGTCTTTTCATAAATTCAATTTACTAAAAAAAAAAAATTATTTGTTTTGTACTGTTTTTTTTTTTTCTTGTGTATTTACGTTACTGTCATAAATCTAGCTGTGCGGCAATGTAAAAAAATTAAGCGCTTCGTTAATACTGTTCACACCAGCTGCGTAGTGGACTAAACAAAAATTTAAGCTAAATAACTCATTATATCTGACAGATTTTACTACACATTATATAAACATTAAACTTTGGAATTTGCAGATTTGAAAATGTATTATGCATAATACGTATATAATGATTTCTATCTATAAACTTTGTATATTTGCGATATATGTAGCAGAACAAAAATGAAGTACCCTATAAGGAATTCATCATAAATTCCCACAGTTTCTTTGTTCGATTATCTCTCTGATCTTATATCGAAAAATTTGAAAAAAAAAAATTTATATTACAAAAATATTTTTTTTTTGTTTTTTATTTGATTTTACTTTTAATTTATTTTTTTTTCTATTTGTTTATTTTGTTTTTTTTTTTTTTAATTCTATGTTGATAATTTTTATCACAACTATTACATTTATTGGCTTTCGAATTTTTTTATCACTTTTTTTTTTTTTATTAATTTTTTTTATTGTATATATTTATATATGAACATACGTATATATATATATGTATATATATAGTATTAATTTTAAATAAATTTGTTATTTTTTACAATTTTTGCGTGATTTATCAGCGTTTTTTTTTTTGTTTTAAACACACACGGTTTTTTTATTTAATTTTGGTTTTTTTTTAATATATAATATTTATAAGGTTTTTTTGTTTCTCTTTTGTTTTAAAAACCAAAATTCACATAACACTTTGTTTGTCTTTTTTATATTAAATTTTTGTAATATTTTAACATATAAATTTTTAATAATTAAAAAATAAAATTTAAAAAAAAATATTTGGGCATAATTAAAGTTTGTTTGTTTTTTTGTATTTTTTTAATAATTTCAATTATATAATTTATTTAAATAATTTTCTTTTTAAAAATTAATGGTACTTTTTTATTAAATTTTAAAAAATTCAAATAATTTTAAATATTTGCATTTATTTAAGTATAAAAAAATAAACAGAAAAAAAATTTTTTTTATTTTATTTTACAATTATAAATATCATTTTTTTTTTTCGATTACAACTAATTATAATATTATGATTAAATTTTTACAAATGAAAATTAATAAAAAAAAAAAAACAATGTTTATTTTGAAATTCTTCTTCTTATTTGTATTTTATTGTTATTAAAATAATTCTTTATTTTCAGTCATTTATTTTTAAATTTATTATCCAATAAAATCATTTAGGTATTCACATTTTTAATATATTTGAATATATATAGATAAGTCCAAGCGTAATTTTTTTTTTTAATAATTTTTTGTTTTGAGTTTGCAAAAAAAAAAAAATTTAAAAAAAAAAAAGGTTTTGAATAAATAACTTTTTGTTTAGCTTTTCTTCTTTTTTGCTTCTTTCCGCTTCTTCAATTTCTTATATATATATATATATATATATATGATGAGAGAATCTCAATAAGATGGGAGAATAATAATTTATCAATTATGTATGTATATAGATATATATATATATTGTTTGATGTGATATTAAGCAAGAGACATAATTTGAGAGCTGAAAATGTACAAAAAACACAAAAAAAAAATTAATTATATATTCAATTATTAATTTATAATATAAAATTAAATAGAAAATAAAAAAAAATCAATTGTCAAAAAGTATATATGCATATAACGTATATGTATAAAGAAGGCACTCCTAACTTTTTTCGATAAACTGACGAACCGATTTCATTTTGCAAATTGGAGTCACCTAACTCTGTAGACACTAAGTACATTCAAATCTTTTGCGTCTCGCTTCTTATTCGATTCTATTTGGTATACGTTCACAAGTATTGGATTATAAATCCTAGATAGCACTGTGAGTATATACAGCCATTGCTATGTCCATCGTTACCTACGCATCGATTGTGTGGTGTCGTAGGGATCAGCAGGCGTGTGTGCGGGCGAAGCTGTAAAAGCTACAGTGGTTGGCCTGTCTGAGAGCGACCCGGGAAATACGGTCACTCCCGTCGCTGCATTGGAGGTAATGATTGGATTGCCAACACTGCACCTCCACATATTCTACATATTGTGGAATTGGCATCAGCAAACAGAGTCACGCTTAATAAGATACCGGGCCACAGTGGACATTTGGGCAATAAGGTTGAAGATGGGCTGGCACGGAGGGGTTCTGGGGCTGACTTTGTAAAGTCTAAAAAAGAAGAAGTTCTTAATTCACTGATTAAATATCTTATAGAAAGCATACAGAAAATTAATATCTAAATTCCTGTTACAAACTATATTGATAATGTTATTTAGCTATACGTAATAATTTTGTATTTCAAGAAAATAGCATTAAAAAATTAGAAAGAAGTATAAGGGAAATGAACAGTAAAAATAATTTTAATGCTACCATAATTGTAATGCTAATACTACCGTTATTAGTAAAAATTTTCCTGAATGTTGGAAACAATTAATTATAATGCCAGTGGAAAAGGCTAAAAATGATAAAACAGAAGATTTTTGAAAAAAATATGTAAAAAAGTAGTATTGTTGCCAGTTAGAAAAATATATTGAATTTGGTAGGAGAAAAATTAGAAGATACAATACGCCTAAGAGGAATATTGGAGGATATAATCTACGAGAAAGATTAAGAGATAGAACCACACTATACATGCTCTTCATCGAGTTCAAAAAGGCTTTCGACACAATTAAGCGAAATGCAATATAGAAAGCACTAAAAGGCAGCAGAATCTCAGATAAAATAATCCGCAAAATTCGAGCTGTGTAAGAAGAAGCCTAGCTCGCGGTTTTACATAGAGATACAAATTCACCACTCAATTAGAAGTCAAATAGGTTTGCCCACTTTCGCCGCCGCTCTTCACAATCGTACTAGAAAACATATTATAATTCGCTTGCTTACAGAAAACGTTACCTAGAATCTATGCTTCTAGGACATAACCTAGAATTTCACTCAATACTTAAAAGATTTAGATTATGTAGATTATCCTCTCTACAGTACATCTCTATAGTACATGCGAAAAAATGAATTACAAAAACTGCAGAATAGAGCAACGCGAATAATTTCAAAAGCTAAAAGGAGCTAATGCGAATAGGCTGGTGCATACTGTTGTTTGAGAAATTTGAATGGCTTCAGATTGCAGTTATTCAGAAAAACTAGCTCCCAACACTGTTTATTACACGCTTATATAATTCTTTTCAAGCAAAATTATATAAACGTTTATTTATACAACGACAAAAAAAAATCGGGCGTTTGTTGGAAAAATTCATATACAGCACCATTGTATTTTACCTAATCTAGGCAATATATATATGTACATACATAATAGGCCTTTTCATAATCACAGTATATTGCGATTTTCATAAACAAATATTGCTAATCAAGTTTGTTCATAAACATTTCCAACCTATCACAGTTTGGTTTTACATTTTTAAAATCTCTGAGTCCGATTGAAAGTCGATTTAGGTAAGAAAACATAATTTCAATAAAATTTCTTATAACGTGTGTTAAAATTTATTTAAATTTATTTATTTAGAGAATTACTAGAATAAATTTTTGTTTGTTAAGGACATTCTTTGTTCATGATCACAATACCGTAAATTCAAAATAGCAAAAGTTTTTATACAACTGTCAAAAATATATTGCGTATGTATCACATTATTGTTTTGCAGTATTGTGTTTATGAAAAAGCCTAATGAATACCAAACATATTAAAAACATTGTCAAATTAAAGATAGAGAAAAATATAGAGTTGACCTTGTCAACTCTGTGATACCCGTACGAATTTGTTATGCTATGTGCGAATAAAGATGCCATAACTGACTGTGGGACAGACTATGACTTTAAGTTGCCGTATTACCATATTAATTTACTATGTGTTTTTCAAAATACTGTGTGTGCCAAACTACTATTGAAGTTGTAGGGCAGCTACCAGAAAGAGCCAAGAAATTTTAACAAATTTTATCAAGCACATCGGCGCACTAACATATTTGCTTGTGTGAAATTTCAATACCACAGCTTTTATAGTTTCTGAGATATAGCCAAATAACTTTTGAAGTTGTATGGCAGGTACCAGAAGGAGCCAAGTAATTTCAACAACTTTTATGAGACACATTGGCCCTACTAATATATTCGTTTCTGTGAAATTTCAATATCACAACTTTTAGAGTTTCTGAGATATAGCCAACTAAATTTTGAAATTGTATGGCAGCTACCCGAACCGGTACCCCGATTATGTCCAATTTAAATAGGGTTCTGGCACTTGCTACAATAAATCATTTGTGAAAATTTGGTGAACTTAGCTCAATTAGTTTTTGAGTTATCGTTGGGACGGACGGGCGGACGGACAGACAAACCTAAATAAACTCAAAATTTGACGCTGATCGAAAACATACACTTGAGTGTATATCTAAGACCGTTATTTCTTAGCGTTACAAACGGTAAGGCAAATTTAGTATACCCTTCTAACATACGTTCGTACGACTAAGAGCAATCATTAAATAACATAAGAGCAATCATTAAATAGACGTAGCATCAGCTTGCTTATCGAAAAAGATGATAAATGCAGCAGTTAATCTGATGTATGTTCCTAGTGCTTCGAAAGTAGCGGAAGCTATTATGATAGCACAAACCACGGAAATACTTTTATGAGGCAAATGCATATAAACCGATTTCTCTGTACTACCAATGATATCAAAACTTTTCAAATATTGTGGAAAAGCCGTTAGAAGAAAATCAAATACGTTCGACAACATATCTGGACGTGACCGCCTCGTTCGATGAAGTTTTGGCACGACGAAACTTATCGAACTCAAGAAATTGATACCTTTGCAATTCGTGGAGTTACTTGAAACAAATTTATCTAACAGGTTTTTCCAAACCAAACAAGACGACGAGCACGAGCACGATTAGGGAAATAAGGGGTGGTATGCCTCAAGGCAGTATTCTGATCCTATATTATACGTGCTTTATCCAAGCGATTTGCCAGATTTCGGGAGTGCAACTTTGGCTACACGATACAGCAATATTGGCAGTGGAATCAAATGCTGAAGAATGGACAAAAACTTACAGGAAGCAAATAATAATATAAGTAAATGGACAAATCAAGGAAAATAAGTCTAAATGAAAGTAAATCTGTGCACGTGAATTTCACAAACAAAAATTTAGTGAACACGCCACAATTGAGTTTGAATGATGCTAAAGTTTCAATCCAAAACACACACACACCAACAAATACAAACTTCATGAACAAGGTCCGTTGTAATTTGTTGAGTGCTCCCTGATATTTGCGAAATAGTCATATTTATAGGGATCTGTCCCGACAAACATGTAAATGTCGAGGCCTCATGACTTATAAAGAAGAGGGTTTGGACAAAAGAAAAAAACTGAATCGAACGATACCTCTCGAATGAGCCTAAAGTGCTGTGACAGAACTTCCGTACCTTCCTACACGGAATATAGACACAAAAGCACGATAGAGAAAAACTAATGGTTAGTCAGTTTGACTAGTTTTAGGAACTTATGACCATGTAGGTGCGTTTTAGGTTGGTCTAAAATCCCCCACTATTGATAGGTCTGATGACAGGTTAGGTTCTCTACTTTTGGAATACCTGGCATTCGAACTTTGGAAAAAATCCAATTTCTCCCTTCATTTATTCTTTTATTTTTCTCCAACTGGATAATTCTGTTCGACATTTTTGAAACTTCAAAGTTCAAACTCAATTTTGGCTACTTTCTATCGAACAGCTCCTTTGAGTAGTTCAACAGTATTCGGTTCAATTTTGCTCAGAGCACCTCTGAAAAGTTTATTTGTAGAAAAGGGTTCCAATTCAACAATAACAATTTCTTTATAATTTATTGTATTTTAATAAAAAGCTTAAAATTTGGTTTTTTACCAAAATAACGGTTTTTAAAATGTCAACTGCTTTTTAGAGTGCATGTTTTAATCAAAAAGTAGTAATAGTTGATAATTACAGCACTTAAAATCAATAATATAGATTCATTGTTTTAACATTTGGAATTGAAATATTAAATTCCAATGAAATTGGCTTATTATTTCTCTTTACGTACGCAAAAATGTATATATGCTCTGACACCTGATTTCTTACAAAAGCTAAGATGTTCCGTGTACGGTCAAATGAAGCTCATATATGAATCGGTGGAATATTTTCTTCAAAATGGTCAAAAACAGGCCACTAAAATGTCTTGCTCCCGAGGCTTGATATAACGCAAAAGTTGATCAATCCGTGACATAGCCAAAACAAACTTACATATAACAAACAAATTCCATCAAAATCGGTTCAGCCAAACTTAAGATACACGCGTGCATACACAGACAGTAGGTCCATCTGCTACAGACCGACACCTCTCTAAAAATAATTTATTTACGCTTCCCTAATATAGAAAAGTGCGTTCCCACCGAAAACTCCATGTGCAAAATTTGTTGCCATCACATAACCTCCCTTATTGTATGCAATGCGATCGGTTAAAAAGAATGAAACACACACCAAAAAAAACTTAAATATAGAAAATTATGGTAACTATGTACATAA